GAGAGAGAGAGAGAGAAAACACAGCCAGGGATAAAGAGGCAGCTGCACAAAGTACAACAGGATATACCCTTGTTTGTTCTACTGTCATCTGTGTGTTGACATAATGTTGGCTCAATGTAGTTTTCATTTTTTTTTGCCTTATCCTAAATTCAAGAGAATTTCAAGCCAGTGTAACATTTCTAAGACTCTTGACAATGGGCTTCATAACTGCAAATTGAGACATATCACTGCACTGCAACAAGAAACTGCAAATGATTATTATTTAAAGCGATATGTATTCTTGTTGCATAACCCTGAAGAAATATGCAGAATAAAAGCGCAAAGAGAGCAAGCGCCATCTCCACTGCTTATGCATTATATATTAAGTTAGCCCAGTGCTGCACCTCCCACCCAGCACCACTGTCAACGCTCCCTCCCCCTCTCTCTCTCTCTTTCTCAGTCTCTCTGTTCTCACCTTACATTCTCACAGCCTCTGACAGACAGACCCTGACCGAGGCTAACATGAACATGGAGTGTGTGTTTGTAAGTATTTTGAAGGGCTGTTAAAGAGCAGTTGTACAGTTATTGAGTGCACCCCCCCCCCCCATTTCTAGAAAGAAAGAGGGGTGCCTAATACTCAAGCCTGCCCTCAGGCCTCTGACAGCAGAGAGATTTGTTTCATGGATTGATGGATTGTTCGAGTTCTTACAGCCCAGGAGTGTGAGAAAGTGCGTTCTTTTGTTTTCTATCACTCTAGGACATTTCAAGAGGTGAAAATAGTAGAACTAAGATATCAGGTAAATTGTTTCAACCTTTAATTTGCTTAACTTGAAATGAGGGAAAATAAAGTTATACTGTGTGATGCAGTCAAAAAAATGCAACAAGAAAAGAATATCACTGAAAAATGCCATGACAACTGTCAAGCAGTCTCTCTGCTCTGAAATGTCAACAGCACCATCCAGCAGATAGCGAAGCATCATTCAACTGATTCTCCTCATGTAGATTAGGTTACACTACCATTCAGTGTTATGTAATGGCAACTCTCTTGCGACACAGACCCTGTTAACACGCTGGCTCTGTTGCTGTGTAACTTTCATCTTTGTCTTCCGTGTGTCTCTCCCTGTTCTCTTCACCCTACTTTTCCTCCCCGGCAGCAGCAGGAGCAGTAGATGTGTTGAGCTATCTTTCCACAGTGACCACGGCCTGATCCCTACATTCATGAGAAGGCAACAGGAAGCAGATTACTGAGGGATTAAACGCATGCACACGTATGCACACACAGAGAGTACCACGGTTGCAGGATTTGACCGCTGTCCAAATGTGGCTCTCACACTGAATGAACTTGTCTGACTGACTGACTGAGACTCTCTGGTATCATGGAAGAAGAGGAGGAGCCGACAGAGTCTCATTGAATGTAACTCACATGACCCCACCTCCGTTCTCCTGCCTCACTATCGCTAGGGCTTTGACTGGTCGATGAGGATTAAACTTATAACAAACACAGCGGAGCGTGCAGAGAGAGAGGGGAGTGCATAGCCGACCGCTTGCCTGCTGCTGTCCCATGATGCATCTACACATGTAAGAGCAGGATCATCCTCACAGAGGGCTGTTTCTATGGATACCCCTGCCCTGGGTAGTATTAATAAGACTCACTGATATTCTGACTATTTGTGCGTGAAGAAAATACAGTGAGAGATTAGAAGAGCATCCCTACAGCACACTACAGCATTAAATAATATCTTTGAAAGACATCAAATTTTAAGAGGAAAAACACAAAAGCAAATTTTGTAATGTAGATGGTTTACCAACACATGTTTAAACCTGGATCAGGAAAAGGGTGATTTGATAAGAATCTTCCCACAGAGGTACCAGAAGAGGAGGTGAAGATGATGCACATAGACACTTCTGAGGCCTGAAGGAAGAAACACCTTTTCTAACCTGCTTAAACTGCAATACTGAGCACAGCTTGAAACTCTGGGCAACAGTTCTGGATAAAATAATCCGACTGGAACGTTTGTGGGCCCCTAAAACTGCCACCACCTCTCACCAGACTTGTTGTGGTACTTGTCTACATGAGGAGAACAGACATCTAACATGCACCAGCTACCTAGAGAAAAAAACAGGTCTCTATTTAGGGTTCTGGACTCACCAGCAAGATGTAACATTATGTGCATAAGACAATAACAAAGCACTTTTAATCTAGATATTTTGGGGATCCATCAAGCTTCGGGTACCTGGAATCTATCTGTCATCTGTTCCCAAAACCTCCAGACTGATCATGGCCAGACAAGACGCCCCCCTCTTCCTCCATGGCTTTGACCTGGGCGCCCACTTTGTTGACCTTCGACCTCTTGGTATGGGTGTTACAGGCCTGGTCCTATCTGCTGTAGATCAGCGCACTGGAAAGCGGGTAGCAATTAAAAAACTGGTGATGCGTGATACCGTGACAGTGAAACACGCTCTGCGGGAGGTCAAAATCACCCGGCTTCTGCGCCATGAAAATGTGGTGAGGGTTCATGAGGTTTTGGCGCCGTATGGACGGCCGCTGCCCAGGGACCCAACCCAGCTGAGTGCCCTGTACATCGTCCAGGAGTGCATGGAGACCGACCTGGCTCGGTTGCTTGAACAAGGACCATTACACACAGGTATGGGAAGCAAAGTTGACAGTTAAAGTCCCATTTTTACTACAGTATGGTGCTTCATGTTGACTATGGTTTTGTTGTTGCACTGCTGGCTTTGTTTACATTGTGATTTATTGTATTTAGTGACAAAGCTTTTGAGACACCCTTTTATAAGACAGTACTTTATTATCCACATCCACAACTCACACATTCATTGCCTGTTCGTTTCTTCCTCATAAAAATGCTCAGTAAGTACTAGAGTGAGACAAACGTATGTGCCAAGATAGTTTTGCCCACAGTCACACAAAGAAGATCAGAACTTAACATAAAATGTGTTCATTTGCTGAGTCTTTCCTTCATTAATTCCTGTTGTGTTTTTCATTGCATTGCATTATGTTTGAAAGGTTCAATTGTGGATAGAGTAACCAACTGTTCTAGCTTTAATCAATTAAACATTATCAAGCAAGCAATGTATTTACTGAATTAGGAGTAAGCATTGTTTTTGGTGATCACAAGAGTGAGAATAGAGGCATCTGTCTTTTGCCCTTGAACAGGTCACGCTACTCTGCTATTCTACCAGCTGCTGAGGGGACTGAAGTTCATCCACTCTGCTAATGTCCTGCACAGAGATCTGAAGCCTGCCAACATATTCATCAACACAGACCAACTGCTGCTCAAGATTGGAGACTTCGGGCTGGCCAGGATAGTCGACCCTCACTATTCTCATAAGGTGCGTGAGAGACGCTCAAGGAAACCCACCACACACACGTATTTACAATATTAACTCTCGCCATGGGAATCTGTGTATTATAAACTATTTTAAATGTGTGCTTCCATACATGCTTACTTTCAACAGTAATTTGATTTCAGAAATGTCCATCTAAAAACAAAAAATAGATTGTTTCTCAGGTTTAGAATTTAAGATGGGCTTGGTTATACACAGGGGCGTGTCCAGACTTTTTTTTTTTTACTGGGGTGGCACAAGTGGGGCACTGACCTATGTAGGGGTGGCCTGAAGTATGTATTTCACCTTTCCAGTCATTCCAAATTTATGCAAATACAACACTGTTCGGGAACCCCAGTATGGGGAAATATTCCAATAAACTATTGTTTTTGCCCCAAACTGCATTGCATAAACTCTGCAAGAGACACAAGAGACACAAGAGACTTGTAGGTTCCCACAAAACCCATTTCCACTTAGATATCTTGAGGTCAGAAGTCTAAGATCCCTTTGACATAGTACCAATGGATGCATTATGCTCTGGTTATATATATATACATACTAGTAGTGGGATGTAGTAGTTGGAACAGACTGATGACCGAACATGAAATATAAGTTTGTAATAATCAGCAACACTTATACAAACATTTCCAGCCTTAACCTAATTACGCTCAGTGATCTTTTTTGGGGCACACAAATGTAGCAGATATGCCAAGTGTTCTTTTGACTAGAGGCCAATAAATGTCTGTGATCATTAATCTCACACTCTCTTAACAAGTTTTATATTCATTTTATTAATCCATAATCTTCAAAGGACAAGCCGGCATAAAAGTTTAGATCTCTGTCCACATATTATTGCCTGCATTGATTTTGTTAGAGAATGGATTTTTTTGTTTTAATCATACAGGAGGATTTCTCACTCTCCTCATTGCTCTGACACAATGTGAGCCGTTCTCCTGCTGATGAAGGAATCTAGGGAGAGTATTGTAATATTAAACATTATCCTTGCTCCATGTTATTGAGGTAGAGCTGTTGTCAGGAAAGAGATAGCAACTCGTTAAGTCATGGCCCTGTGTGGTTATCCGGCAGCAGTGCACAAACCTTTTTTCTTGTGTAGTAATGGATACACTGTAGGATGGGATTCTGTTGCAATATAATCCTCCTTTAGAAAATCAGTAGGTTTGCACACATGAAGTGCAAAAAAATCAGATCTGTCTTTCTGGTGTCCTCTCAATGTCTCAGGTGACATCTTTGACATCACTAATTTAATTATGACAAAGATCAAACTTTTAAAAAGTACTCTGCCAGGCTAAACACAGCTCTATGACTGGCATCTCCAATTACACATCCCTATGTCTGATGTTGCCGACCTGTGTCTTTCACATTAGGCCTCCTCTCCAGACCAAACCCTGCTATTAACGTCTTCTTCCCAAACCTGGTATCAGGTTTTGTGCTTGTCAAACCCTGTGATTAGCCTGTCCATTGTAGTTGAAGGCTTCTGAGAGATTAATGTGACAATTTACTGTTCCATTGAGCTGCTCTATTCTGCACAAAGATCCCACAGCAACACTGTAACACTAGCAGGCCAGACAGTATGTGTGTGTGCGTGTCAGTGTGTTTTTGTATAATGGTGTATTTTTTGGGCCTGTGCATGTGGAGAGGAGCTCTTGTGAAAGGCGATCTTTGTCAGCTCAGAACACGGGACTGGGGATCAGCTGGGTGCAGACACAGGGGGTGCGAGGGGTGGAAGGGGTGACGGGGGAGGGAGGAGCTGATAGGGTAGAGAACAGATGAGGAACAAGGGTGAGGAATATTGAGTTATGGAAGGGTGAAAGAAGGAGAAGTGAAATGTCAAAGCTTTGATAACAGCAATGCATTAATAACCAGGAAGAGTGCCGTCTGCACACCCCAGTGTTAAACTGACTGATGCCAGCACTGCTGACATGGTTTGAATTGTTCTGAGTTGGATATTGGGAGTCATAGTGGAGTCTGTCCCAGCTGATGTGTCTGTTAGCCAGCAGAACATCAGTTTGTCATTGTTCATTAGCATAAGATTGTATTACAGTGCCAGAGTTATGTGTGTATGTGTGTGTGTGTGTGTGTGTGTGTGTGATTGTGTGTAAGATGATGCCGGCCTATTTGTGATGCAGTGTTGACACCAAAGCAGATGCCTGTAGTGAACGTGCTAGCATCATCCTCTCTCTCTTATTTAATAATGCAGAGCCAAAGCGCTGCTTTTTCAAACATTTTGTGGTAATGGATGTAGGCAGTCTTGACCTCAGCTGTGATGGAAATTCACAAGTATTAACTTACATATTGGGCCATAAACAAGACTGGTGGCTCCAGTTTTTATGACTCGTTTATATTTCTTTCAAATAGGGTCCTTGCATCACAGTCGACCGTAATCAGATTTTATATTATGGCATGTTCGACAATGAGAGTTTACATTTTCTCACCACTGAATGACTTGCCTTCTTTTCAATTAACTAGGAGTGCTCCAAAAAATCCCTCCTACCTTTTCTTTGTGCTTCTACAGTATCTTACAGGGTCCATGTGTTATCACAGTGGATTTGTCAGCAGTGACTCTGCAGTGCATCGAAATGAGGCTGTTTGACGAGCTGTCTAGATGTGCGCCTCTGACTACACAGAAAAACATTTACTCAGGAAAATAGAGATGACAGAAAGGTTGAGAAGAGAGAGATGGGAAACGGAGGCTGAGAAAACGTTATTTGTGATGTTGTTTACAGTCTACATCAGTAGGAACTTGCTGCTTCTGTGAGTGTGTATGTGTGAGTGTCACCTGCTGAGGCAGCGCTGGATCTGCCCAGAAATTATTCATGACCTGGATGAAGGACAGAGACAAAGAAGGAGAGTAAAGGTGAATAAGGAGAGAACGTTGGAAAAGAAAGAGAAAAAGAAGGGTACAAAAGGGAAGGAAGTGAGGAAGACATACAGAAAGATACGGTGGGAGTAGACAGGTGAGGATAAGCAGTGTGGAAACTGGCAAGAAGAGAAGGAGGGATGAAACAGGTGAGAGAGGAGGTGAAGCAAGTCGGCTGGCGGAAAGAGACAGATGGGGTGAAGTGCGAAGAAAAGAGGAAAGGAAGGGGAAAAAATCATAGTGACGACTGCTGATAGTGACGTAGAAAAACACTGAGGTGAGTTGAGATTAGGGAGCGGATGGAGAGAAGAGTGGGAGGTGATGACAGCGGGGAGAAAGAAAAGGGAGGATGACAAAGAAGGAGTGAAGAAAGAAAACCAGTGTGAAACTGAGGCATAAATGTATTTATTTTTCTGTTCAAAGAAACTTCCGAAGCTGTTTAATGATTCACTTTTATCATCAAATAATATTCCACCATGAAAATATTGTAAACATGACCACCCCTGAAAAGTCACTATGTGTCAAATGCTTGCTGGGAAGCAAAAAAAGGGAGAGCTCGGATGTGAGAAATGATCAGCAAAGATGGGAAAGAGGGACAGACAGATAGAAGACAAGGTGAGTGCATGTTTGTCAGACCATCACTGAGCACTCAGCATCAGTTTTTGCTCTGTCATCTGCTGGCACACAGAGAGGAGAACACACAGCGATAAGGGAGGGTGGTAAGTAAAGTGTAGCGAGAACTGAGAAGGCATGGAGAGAGAGGGAGGGAGTAGAGAGCACAAAAGGAGTAGATTAGGGTATGCATGACGTAGGGGTAAAGAGGAGAGGTGGAAGAGAAACGGCAAGGCTGAAGACAGTCCTAAAACTGAAGTTACTTCATACTCACAGCTACTCAGTAGCACTGTGCAACTGGGCCAACCATTTAACATCTTATATTCAAGGAGCAACTTTAGAAAGCTTTCCCAAAAAGACTCAGAGAGCCATGACATTTAAAAATCATCATTTTGGCCAGGATGAATTATATGTAAAGACACATTGCTGGAAGGCATATATAAGTGTGAACATTGATGTGGGCCCACAATGAATAAAGGCTCTGAGTCATGCCCTAAATCTGCTGACGGAGACACAGTTCACTTTTTTTGTACCATCTTCAAATATGAAGAAGGAACTTGCTTTTTGCTGTTAAGTAAAATGTAAAATCATTTTGGGCCGGACCGAAAATCAGAGGAGGCATGTCCTGCTTGTGATGATGGTGTTACAAGTGGCCCAACATAATTTAACTGGTGTGAAAGAGATCACAGAGCAACTTCTGACATCTGTTTGAAAATTCATCTGGGCCAGGATAAATCCCTTGCTGTCTGTATGGCGTAAGTCCTAAATAGAGTCATTCTGCAAGAAGTACCAGATAGAGAGGGAGCAATGTGAATGATGAGATAGAAAATGGAAACAGTAGAGGTTTTGGCATCCCTTTTTCAACCAGATAGTTAAAAACATTTTTGGAGAGAAGTGCACAAAAATAGTATGCCAGTAAGACAAAGGTGAACTTTATATGTCCACAGTCTCCCTATTACATCTGTCATCATGAAGCAATTTGCAGCAGTCAAATGGCAAAGTATTGAAATGAAATTAGCCATCAGCTGCCAAAAAATATTTAAAAGTGTGTGAGAATGTGTAAGCCTAATTATAAGCATATTTTGTTGTGTGGTCTTTAGTCTTTTAATATCACGACTGTCAAAAAGTTTAACTAACCTGAGGCAGTAAAATTTGGCTCAGGAGAGATACAAGGTCAGGAAATCATTAGAAATATGCAGTAAGTGCAGAGATTTTGAGATTTTGTTAAGTTGGAGAGTGGAGCGATCACAGAGAGCGGGAGGTGGGAGAGGCATATAAGAGTGGACGAGAGCATTAATTATAGCAACAGGCAAAAACAAATCTCATTATGGATAAATCTGGTTTGTATGTTAATACGCTTGCTCATCACCATGCACAGTGTCTGCGTGTTATTCACAAGGTGAGCATTTACAAAAGTAAAAGGCAGAAGGGAGCCTTGTTGGAGCAGGCCTAATAAAAGTATGTGTGTTTTTATACAGCAGAGCATCAAAGGCTCGGTGAACCTCCGTACCTGCAGGTAGAGATTCAGGGGAATGTTATCTTCTGCAGAGCGTATAGAGGCCAGCTTCTATCCTCTTGTAGATGACATAAAATTATGAAGTCCATGTTGGTTTAAATCAAAATATCCCTTGTGAGGCTCATTTTTGTAGCCGACATTAAAAAAAATAACACCTTATACACATGCATGCAGACTTACAAATACACTACTGAGTGCTAACAACAAGCCAATCCGTTGCATGCTCATCACTTTTAAAACTACAGCATATCATTCCTTTAACTTACCTCCTTCTCTCTCTTTCTCCTATTTTTTTCTCACTCACCCCCTCATCTGCTTCTCCAGGGCTATCTGTCTGAGGGTCTGGTAACTAAGTGGTATTGTTCCCCCCGTCTGCTCCTGTCCCCCAACAACTATACCAAGGCCATAGACATGTGGGCCGCTGGCTGCATACTGGCTGAGATGCTCACTGGACGCATGCTGTTTGCAGGTACCTCCACTGTTTGTCATACACTCTCAGCCAAAACACTGTCATCATGACCTTGACGTCCTGCAGGAACATTATGACATTGCTGATCATTACTTTGATGACATAATGAAATGTGATCATGTTATTAGTATTCAGCATTTTTGGGTAATGTGTATCTAGTAAATGGCAATTCCTTGTCTGGTATTTGTTATTCTATACATCTATGTGATCTGATTGTGTTTTGGCTCCCATGAAGGATTTTTTTACATATATTTGCACAACCAATTGTTATGTGAATAGGCAAAACTTTCTATGGGTGAACATAGCACTCTTGCATACATCCGTAGCATCATATCTGCCTTAATGGTATGCGCAGTATGAGAAAGTAACACCAGCCTAAATAGGATAGAGGAATGACATCAGGCTTCTTTGAGTGGCTAAGTGAATACAGTATACAATCAGGTAAACCAGCTGTAGCAGAGATGATGCTTATAGACACATCACAAGGTGACATCATGTGAGAGCTCCAGAGTGTCCTCCACCAAAGATACTTTACTCTCTTCTGCAGGCTACTTCTTTGCCTGACCAGAATAACAATGATGATAGAGAAATTCGCACTGTCTGGAGCAGAAGTAGTTTCACCTGACAGGCTGATTTGACCTCCATCAGCCCTCTACACCACAGGAGAGATGATGCCATAAACTCAATAGTGTCATCCATTCCCTGGTGTTCCTCTCTGTTACACTGTTAGATATGCTTACCTTGCTTTTCACTTTACCACCAGAGTTTAAATGGCACAATACATTTTTGTTTACCATAGGGGAAGCAATGCGCTCATCCAAATACACTACCACTGCTTGCTTGTTTCTTAGAATGATGAATGTGTTGATATAGCACCACCTGCTGGTGTCTATGAGCACGAGGGAAACATTTAAAGGGCAAATCCGCACTGTATCACATCAAACTCAACAAACTCCATTAGATGTGTTAGATTATAGTGGTTTAACATTAGGTTTGGATCATTGTTGGGGGTAAATGTCTGCCAATATTTGAAGGATGTGGGATTTAGTGCACAAAGTAATGTACATACTGCATTGTCACAGTGTGGATGTAACCAGGAGAACAACATGCCTGACATTTCAACCCTTACTATTCTACCAGTACTTGCTTCAGGCTGGATGAAGACTGCAAAAACTTAAATTTTATGTAATTTCAAGCAATGGAATTCAAATTGAAGATGCTGTTTTGGTCTTACAGTGGTCATTTCTAGACATGGTTTTAAATTGAAAAGTATTTTAATTGTTAACTACAGAGTATTCCTGTCTCTCTGCATAATTTCAATGGAATCTCCTTACCTTACCATTTCTTTCACTTGACAGCATCACACCTCCCAGTTATTCCTGTTTGACTCTAATTGGTCACCCTTTTTCTGCTTATGTAACTGATCCTCAGTCTCTTCTCTGCTTGTCTCTGATTGGTCGGTTCCCTCTCCCAGGAGCTCATGAGCTGGAGCAGATGCAGCTGATTCTAGACACCGTGCCAGTGCTGAGAGAGGAGGACAGACAGGACCTGTTACAGGTGACGCCTCAGTGGCTGCTGCTAGTCTCATGTCTGCAAGCTAATTGCTTAAATATGGAACAGGGTGCGATTGTCATGTTCTGTTTCCAGCTTTAGACTAGGAAAATGTAGTCTGCAGGCAAGGTTAAATGTGCACATAACTCTTTCCAACTAGGCCCCTGCCAGTGTGTTGCTTTCAACTAGCATCTGCTTTGTACTAGGAGTTAAATACAAGTGACTTGAATAATAACGGAAAGCAGAATTATGTACATATTTTATCCCCACTGTCATCCTTTCCCAGGTGATGCCTTCATATGTCAGTCATGGATGGAGAGTCAAGAAACCCTTTTCTGAATTGCTGCCTGAAGTGGATGCTCAGGGTAAGCGGGGGGAATTGAGTACTGGAAAGAAGAGGGAGGTCAAGCAGTGTGAAATAGAATGGGGACAAAAAAAAGGATGATAAAGAAAGAGATGATGGAGTACGGTGTAGAGGTTTGAAGGTCTAACACATATAATTTAGCCCTGAAAGAAGAAGATGAATGAGGATATTTTTTTAAGGATGACACACTTGATGGACACTGTATTTTATTCCTCCTCCTCCTCTTCCTTCCTCACTTATCCCCTCTTCTTCTCCTCCTCTCAGCTGTGGACTTCCTGGAGCGTATCTTGACCTTTAACCCCATGGATCGGCTGACAGCTGAAGCGGCGCTGTCCCATCCCTTCCTCCAGCAGTACTCCTGTCCAGAGGATGAACCCACCTCGTCGCATCCCTTCCGCATCGAGGACGAACTGGTGGACAGCCTGATCACCGAGCAGAGCCTCAGCAACAGCAACAGTCAGGCTTCCAGCATCCACTGGGAGAGGTGAGTAGATTCACCTTTTTATACACTGGTGGGGAAGTTGAGGTTTTGCTAATCATTTATTATATGTTTTAATCAGAATTTTATTTTGTGACAATTTGCCATTGCTACTATTACTCAAATTAACTAGTAACCACAAAAGCAAAACTTCCTGGTTACTGAAGTTAAATACTCAACTAACCTAATAACAGTGCATTTTAGCAGCAGGTCATACACTACATTTATTTGGAGACACACCAAATATTAATCTATCTGAGACTAATACACATTTGGAGTTGTGATGTAGTTCTTCTAAAATATGGGTATCAGTTTCTATATTAGCTGCTAATCAGTGGATTTAAAATACCAGTGTATACTGACATAATTCTGTCCAAAATTAATTTCTGATTTATAAACTGTATTAATTTAACATTGAAGGCTGACTGCTTGTGTGTTTTTTGAGTTTTTGAGTTTTTTTGTTTCGACTTCACCTGGTTAATCTATGCCACGGTAAGACTGTATTTCCCAATATTTTATAGATGAAGCACTGAAAAAAATGGGGAGTCAAAGTGCAATTATTAGTTGAAACTGAAATTTATAGCAAAGCATAATGAGAAACAAGAAACTACTGTACCTAAGATTCCTACTGTAGTTGAAACAACATGCTATATCGCACTAAATATACTGCACAGTGAAGTTATTATAAGGCTTATTCAAAAACTTAATTTCTGCCTGCAGGTACGAGAACAGTTTATCAACAGATGTGTCCTGGCAGCAGTCAGGCGGGTGGTGTCGCTGCATGCCCCCGGGCCACATTACTTCTGATCTGGGAGACACAACAGAGGATGAGGAGGTGCAGAGAGACCCTCGGGCCAGTTCCACCTCACTGTTAGAGGAGGCCCAGGTTGGATATGTTTTGTCGTTTCCCTCCGTACTGATTTTTACTTGACTATGACTTACATTAATTATTGACTAATTCCCTTGATAGTTATCCTATTTTAATGAAATGCAAAGAGAGGTGTGAAGAAGTTGGCAAAGCTGATTAAATTAAAGGTGCTATGTCAACA